CGCACCCTCACCCCACCACCACCACCACACCACGGGAAACCACCACCTCCACCCCCATCAGAAATGCACCACCGTGACCCCCACCACCAACAAAAACGAACCACCAACACCACCACCTAGCCACCGTCACTGTCCACCGCCACCAACAACAACCTACCACCATATCATCCAGTACCACTACACAAGTCAGAACACACCGCACCACGACAGCACATCACCTCCGCCACAGATCCATCGCTACAGCCACACGTCGCGGAAAAAGGAGAAAGGGGAATGAGCTGCCACACAGCACCACCACCACACACCACATCGCACCACCACCGCACACAGATTCGCGCTGCCACCAACTATTCGCACCACACAACCGCACCCATCGCCCACCAACCGCAAGGCAAAACCTCCACCACCAACCGCAAGCACAGACACCCACCGCCAACCGCACCACCATCGCACTAAACAAAAAAAATGAAAAAGAACAACAAATCTGCGTGCTCAGACCATGGATCTGCACAGCTCCTCCTGCAGCTGTGCTCGGTGAACCTCATCTTCGCCATTCCGTGAAGCAGCATTCGATGTAGATGAAGAGAGAAGACCGCCGGCAGAGAGAGAATAACTTCAAACAGACCACCGCTAGTATCCGTCGTCGTCGTCGCCACTACAGCGCCATGCACCAATCGGCTACCACAACCACGGCGCCGAGACCCCTCCCACACCGCAAACACCCGAGAGAGAGAGAGAGGGAGGAGAAGGGAGTTCAGTTATGGTGAAAGTCGAGAATTAGGGATTTAAAATCGTGTGGGGGTGGGGGTGGGGGTGGGGGTGGCGTATTATTAATATTTAATTAATTGTAATAAAATATGTATCTATATATAAAATATCTGATTTTTGAAAATTAAAATTTAAAATCAGATTTTTGAACTTGGATCTTAAAAAGTAGGATTAGCTGTAATTACCACAAATTGTAACGTTTGAAATGTGTTTCGAAAGACAATGAAATGGTTACCGGTCCATTAATAATAGGCTTTTGGATTTGGGTCAATCCATTAGACTGAACTGCATTTTGTCTAAGCCCATCAAATGATGGCCCATTTATACAATAATAGCAAAAGCCCATTGATTTGTATCATGCTCTCGTGGCTACAAAAATAAAAGAGAATAAGTAATTTTAACTTATTGATGACAAGATACATCGACTAAGGAAGAAAAATAAGTTAAATTTTTTTTCATGAACAATTCTATACTTAGCCATTATTTGGTAGAAATTAAAATCTGACTCATAATTTTTCAACTACACATTTCATCAACATTTATTAAAATCTACTAAAAATTTGATTTTAATCTCAATCAAACAGGAATTTAGATTACTCTGATAGTACTCTTCTTAATTTTTATTTAATTGATTGACATGTAAATTCATTCATTTGTCGAATGGTTTATTGAATTTTGATACCCTAATTATTTTCCAATAAACTTTGTGTAAGAAGATGGATCTAAGCATTAGTTATGATTCATGTACACATAGAATTGTATTGAGGTGGTACATATATACATGCTAAATAGAAGTCTTTGATTAAATTCCGAAAACTATTGAGAGTTTGAACATCAATTTACTTTGTTTGAGAAATAGTATCCTTTTCTCGAAATATTTCTCTAAAAATTTAGATTGTCAAAGAAAAGCATATGTGAATATAAAAATTTCAAAACTCAGCTTTTCAAATAAATGTTGGAATCTAGAATTTGTCAAAGTAGAATCAATCTTTGCATCTATATCAATAAGAGCACTTATACATGTACATGAAAAAAAAAAATTATGTAAAACATACAGATTACACACATCAAGGTGAGGCCCTTTTTTTGTAATATTTAAATAACATAGGGGCTTCATGTGAGAGTCGGTAATTTTTACAGAATGATTTCTTTTGTACAATGAGAAAAATTCTATCAATAATCATAAGCAACAAAGACCCTAATTGTCTTGTTTTTTCTTGAAAGGTCGTAATTGTCATTTGTTATAAAATATTTTAGTACTATGAAAATTATATTTCGATCCAAAATTTATATATATTGTCATTTTAAATATTGTTATAAAACATTATAAAATGTGATTTTTTATTTTTTTATTTTTTCAAATGTTGACATGTAATTAACAATATGTCACCTTAAATAAAGGGTATAGAATAATTTAATAAACCTAGTTGAAAAATCATTTACATTGCTTGATTTAATAGCATTTTCTCTAATTTTATTACTTTTATACTCTTGACCCTTATACTATATTACTATTTAAAAATTAAATAATATTATCATTAACATTAAATATATAAACAAATTTAATATCGGAAGTTTATAGCTTAGATTTTCTTTTAGTTCTTTTTCTAGTAAAAAATTTAGATCGGTTTTAATTTTTTTTCATTTTTATAATGAGAAATCAATATTCACAATAAAATGAAAAATATATACTAGGAGGGGAGGATTCTGAAATTTATGAAAACAGAGGGGAGGCCTCAGTAATTATCATAAACCTCAAGGGAGGTTTTTCTAATTTTCTTTCATATAAAAATTTCATTTTTTTTTATTATTATTTTTTTTTTCCTGTTCTTGATAGTAACATGATTCCAACAAGTAAATAATTAGCTGCAAATACCTTATGATTTATGCTTTGATTTTCACAGATAAAACATCATTACAAAGACCTTATAGCATCCCAATTAAGGCCACTGATTTATATACATATACACATATATATATATAAACATCAAAAGGCCATTGATTATATAAAGAAAGATCAAAATTGTGTGATACTGATAGGACATGGTCTCTCTCTTGTTCTGGCGCCTGCCTCCATCTGTATACAGCTGCATCAGATGCCTAGGATATTAGAAGATTACTAATTATTTTCTTGTTAATATTTTGCATTTAAGCCACTGCAACTGTGCCTGTCCGTACAACTTTCTTGGTATCATTTTCTTTAGCTTTAGAGTGATTGCTTCTCTTTGAAGAAGAAGAAATTTTCCACCTTTCTTCATTGGCTTCATCTGTTTCTATCTGCTCTTGTCTGCACTCTTGGCTACAAAATGGTGTATTCCCTCTGCAACACAATATTTTCAATACATATCAGATACTATTTTATGTCCCGAAAACAAAATCGAACCATCCATTGATACTCGACACTATCGAAGAAAGAAAAAGTTAAAACCTTGTTTAGTATTGCGTACTAAAAAGAGTTTAAGCATAAAATAATGAGTCTTTAACAATTTATTAAATTCTTGGCTAACCTGTACATGAAGATGTCACTGTTGTGACCAAGTGATCTGTGGCAAAGAAAGCAAGAGTCAAGAAAATGGGGTTGATGGTGGTTATCTTCACATCCAGCGCAGTATAGAGCAGATCCTGACCTCATTTTTTTGTGGAGATATAGAAACTGGTACTAGAAAATGGTGGAGAAGTAGGGATTGTGAGGGGAAGCGAGAGGAGGAATGGTGGTTTTATATAATGTTAATAGAGTGGGCAAGGAGAGAGAGAGAGTGTGGTGGGGGTGCGGGGGGAGTATGGACGACCAAAGATTTCTGAAATAAACTAGTTCACTTTGTCACTAAATTGGAATGACAAGTTTTATTGGTAGATAAGTTACGAGTAATGTTATTTATCTCCACTAAATATAATTTTCACGTTAAGTTGTAAAAAATGATATTTAATAAAATGATTAAAATATTTAAGAAGAATTGCAATCGAGGTACTAAACTTTTCATTTGTCATTGTAGGTACCAAACATTTAAAAAATTCGTGAGTCAAATCCAAATAGACAAAAACTATTAGTGAGGCCGTCAGTTGATCAAGAAATGGAAAATTTTATAATTCTTACCAAATAAGAAACTTCGATCAAAACACATTTATCTTCAATGGTGGTGCAGCCATCGTGACGATACGATATGCGTACTTGGGTTTGGTTTATGTGATGTAGGGGAGATGAGGGAAGGATGGGGGAGAAGAAGAATAATTTTATTGAAAGGAAATGTATTTTATCTAAAATGTCCTTATCATTAAAATTATATTTATAAAAAAAAATCATTTTTGGGTCAAGTGATAGTCTTATTAACGTTTCTGTCATTTAGACTTGATTTACGAATTTTTTAAAGGTTTGGCATTTACGGCGACACAAATGAAAGGTTTAGATTAAGTTTGCTATTTAATGAAGAGTTTGATACCTTGATTGTAATTCTCCCTAATATTTATGTACTACATTGATCATATTATTTATTTCATCATCATCTGCTACATCAGATGGAGATAATTTCTCTCATTATTCATTGAATAGGGTTGGACATTTTATTGGTAGTGCTATTCATCATTAATGAATAGCTGTTTATGAGCACCGGAGCCACTACCATACTGTTCAATTTATAAATATACAGGAGCTGATATACTAGTATCCACAAAGAGTCCAATTTCATACCTTGTAAGAGGCAAAAATCAAACCCTCACACTACGACTGTCAGCTCAGTTGAGAGTGCCTCATTCCTGTCCTTCTATTGGACAATAAATCATAGACTTCATCGCTAATCTATCGCTTAGATTTCGATACTCACCATTAATGATTAATAGCAAATTATATTTCAATTTAGGCGTCATGGGACCAAGAGAAAAATGGTTTGAGAGTGTTAAATGATAAAAACCTCTGGCTGTTTCTGTGGTAGAAGTACATTGTATCTGTTTGGCACAAAAGGTGTTTTCCAGTTAAAAAGTAAACTTATTCGAAATTGATTAATTTGCCCCACGGCCCCGACCCTAACCTAACCTGCTTAATGGAATCTTATACTCTAGATTTCAACATTTTATAGTAAACAATGCAATCTAGGATAGTAAGCACCTAAGTGCATAAATACTTCTAGTTGGCATTATTGAACAAGACAAAACAAAAATAAATAATTGTACCTAATATGCTATTAAAGCAAAAGTTTAAAACCGCAACACAATCCTGTAAAATAATAGGGTGTCCTATGTAAAAAATATTTTTGAAAATCGACTCAAGCATCGATTCTCCAAAAGTAAAGGGTCGATCGAATGTGTCGAACTAGTGATAAAAAATAAATTCTCGAGATGAATTGATTGATTATTGACGTAAATCAATTAGTTCTTGAGTTTTTGTAATGGTTTACCATTTTTTCAGTTTTTCACATATAACCAATTAGATTTTGAGAAATGCTATTCATCCCCAGTCTATGTGGATATAAATGATTGGTTAAATGATAGGTGAAATTAAATAATTTAACCAATCATTTACATCCACTTAGATTGGGGATGCATCCCCATTGGGGATGAATAACATTTTTCTTAGATTTTTTGATTTGTTCTTGATTTTTTATATTATTTTTTTAGGATTTATCTTAAGAAGTTAATCTTAATTTGAAAAAATAGCCCAAACTTTTATGTGATGGTTTTCATATGCTT